CGGTAACTCAGGCGGGGCCTGTACCTGCTGGGTCCGATCCGATACCTTCGACTTCGACAGTCATGTCGATGGAGGTGGTGGAGGAAGGCGAAGGCAACTCAGATGGTTTGAAGGGCAGCGGAGCTCAAAAGCGAAAGCAGGCCTGGAAAACATATATGAGGGAGAAGGAGGAGGCTGAAAGTAAGGGGCTTCCCCCTCCTAACCCTCCTCCAAAGAGGAAGAATGGTTCCAAGAGGAAGAAGGAGAAGAAGGCCGTGGCTGAGGCTAGTACTCGCCTGGCTGACGCTCCGGAAGCCTCTGGAAGCCAAACTACGGCCAAGAGGAAGATGGAGACTAGCGTCTCCGACCCCTCGGTGAAGCCGGCCACTAAAAAGGTACGGCAGGGGCCTAACCCCGTCGGACAGCGAGGACCGGCATTTGCAACTCTTGCTTCGAGCCTTCCAAAGGTGTTAGTCACTGTTGGGGAGACTCTTGGCGAGAAGCTGCCTATGTCGGTCTTCGAAGAAATCAAGGGCTGTGTCCTGAACCAAATCCTGGAATTAACGGGAGAGGGAGTGATCCCGAAGTTCAAGGATACGGTCCTACAACATGGGAAGGTGATCTTCGTCTGCGAGGACGAGGACACTGAAAAGTGGCTTCGAGAGGTGGTACCGTCGTTGAAGGTGCGGCTTGTACGCCCAAAGGAACTCATTAAGAGAGTTAAAATGACACTTAAGGTGCCGCCCCCGAAACTGGAGCCAGCAAAGGCGCTGAGACTCATCAGCCTGCAAAACAGTGGCCTTGAGACGAAGAACTGGATCGTCCACAAGGCTGAGAACCTAGAGGGGAACTTTACCCTACTGGTTCTCGGGATGGACGTGAATTCGGCCAACGTACTCAAGGCCAGGAACTACAGGGTACATCTGGGTACGGGACAGGCGACTTTCAAAGTCGTCTAGAAAAACCAGTTGGATCCTGAGGGAGGAGTGGGAGGATTATTTCAATGGCTATGTTTATGTCTAAAGCCGAAATCTTTCAGCTAAACTTACATCATAGCAAAAGCGCCTCGGCTGTAACAGTTATGGCCAAGTGCATGTCTGTGGTGCGAACACTTCCTGCCTTCGGGTTGGTGCAAGAGCCATGGCAATACAAGGGCCTCATCCGAGGTCTTGGTGCGGCTGGGTCTGTTCATGCATATGGAGAAGAACCCAGGGCTTGTGTGATTGTAAGGGGCGCGAATGCAGCCTTTTTACAAGAATTTTCCACAAGAGACCTGGCTGTTGTCAAGCTTGCTAAAAGTGGAACTGATGGGCAGGGTGGCAGGCAGATTGTTTTGGCATCTGCTTATTTCGCCCATGATAGGGAGACACCCCCAGAAGAGGTGAGAAAACTGGTAAGGTTCTGTAAAGAGAAATGCTTTGATCTGCTGGTTGGGTGTGACGCCAACGCCCACAGCCGGGTGTGGGGGTCCACTGATACCAACCAGAGGGGAGAAGAGCTACTTGACTACTTACTAGAGGCAAACTTAGATATTCTAAACGAGGGCGATGAACCAACGTTTGTCACGGTTAACAGAAGGGAGGTTCTAGATCTCATCTTATGTAACCCACATCTGTCAAAGAGGGTCGGGTCTTGGAGAGTCTCCACAGAACCCACCCTGTCAGACCACAGACTCATAAGATTAACTCTGCAAGAAGTGGAATCTAGAGCAGTGTGGTGTAGGAATCCAAAGAACACAGACTGGTCGATGTTTAATGAAGAACTCCGATCGCGGTTCGTGGGCTTTAGGGTTAGATATTGCAGTCCCGTAGATCTAGACCGTTGTGAACGTGAGATCAGAACGGCGATCACGGCTGCTTACGAGAAAAGCTGTCCGCTAAAGAAGGTGCACACCGAGCGGCGTAAGCTTAGGTGGAGCAAAGAGCTTTCGGATAGAAGGCAGCTGACACGCAAGCTCTTTAATAGGGCTAAAAAAGTTAACACGATGGCAGCTTGGGAAGCACATCGAGAAAGCCAGAGTATCTATAATCATCTGATTAAGGATGCTCGAAGAGAATCGTGGAGAGACATGTGCTCACAAACAAGCACCATGCTGGTGGGGCTCTTTAGAGGGTGCATAGCGGTCGGACACACCCCGGAAGAATGGCGCAAAGCCAAAGCTGTATTTATCCCAAAAGGAGGCAAAAAGGGTTATACAAGTGTAAAGGACTTCAGACCAATAAGTCTTACGTCCTTTCTCCTGAAAACTCTAGAGAAACTGATCGACAGGTTTCTGAGAGCGGGTCCTTTGAAAGGCTTGCCCTTTCACAAGGAACAACACGCTTATCAGAAGGGTAGATCCGTGGACACGGCACTTATCGGTTTGCAACTACATAGAAAAGCAACTGGAATGGAAGGGCGTTTGCATAGGCGCCTTTCTAGACATTGAGGGGGCGTTTAATCGCACCTCAAAAAACGCCATACGGCGAGGTGCAGAGGAACATGGAGTGCCCGAGGGCATTATCAAATGGATAATGTCAGCACTATCGGGTAGAATTCTCAGCACTAGCTGGCAAGGTCAACAATTGGAAGGCAATGTGTCAGAAGGATGTCCACAGGGCGGAGTTTTATCCCCACTACTGTGGTGCTTGGTTGTAGACAGCTTGTTAAAGCTGCTAAAAAAAGACGGCTTTTATGCAGATGACATTTGTCTCCTGGTTAGAGGCTCACATGAGGAAACACTTAGGGACCTAATCCAAGGGGCTTTTAAAAAGGTACTGAGGTGGTGTGCTGAGAAGGGACTTAGTATACAGGCCCAAAAGACAGCGGTCGTAAGGTTTACGAGGAAATGCAAACTCAAAAAACCGGCAAACGTTACGATCGGTCAGCTGCAGATTCCCTTTTCTGAAGAGACCAAATATCTGGGAGTCATCCTAGATAGAAAGCTCTTATGGGGGAAACACTTGCAGGATAAATGCAAAAAGGCAATGATCACCTTCTGGCAGTGTAGAGGGGCCATGGGAGCGAAGTGGGGCAATCATTGTTCCCAGGCTTGTTTATGCAGCACCGGTCTGGTGGAAGCGTACTTTGCTAAAGACCGCTCGCGGAATGCTGGACAAGGTACAAGCAGCTTTTCTCAGAGCTATATGCGCTGTGAGAAGAAGCACCCCGAGCGCAGTGTTAAGAGTCTTACTAGACGTTCCGTCGCTGGCTTTGGAAAGCAAGGCTGCGGCGATGCGAGCGGCTTACAGACTTCACTGTGTGGGTGAATGGAGAGATAGCTTCATACATCCGAAGCTTCAGAGAAGCTGTCCTAAAGAAATATGGAATATGCCGCAGGACAGGATAAAAACCCAGCTAGCTGAAGGGGTGTGTTTCAAGGTACATATCCCCAGTAGAGAGCAGTGGGAGCAAGGCTTTGGCCCAAAACATGGAAGCATTTGGTTCACAGATGGGTCAAAGACGAAGGAAGGAGTGGGAGCCGGGTTCTGTGGTCAAAAGTCGGTGGACAGCTTTGTCTACAGACTTGACAGACACAACACGGTCTTCCAGGCGGAAGTTCTCGCCATAAAAGAATGCGCGAGGGTTCTGTCTGAACGAGGTACAGGTGGAGACATCTGGATTTGCTCAGACAGTCAAGCTGCTCTAAAAGCCTTGGTTAATGAGTCTTTCTCATCCAAGCTGATAGAGGAAACCATCCTGGCACTCCAGCGAGTCGCTAGAATCGGCTCAACCTTGCCTGGATTCCAGGTCATGCCGGATGGAAAGGCAACGAAAGAGCCGATAGATTAGCAAAGGAGGGCACCACTCTATGTGGTCCTCAAGAGAAGGTAGTGGGCATGCCGTTCAGGGAGGGCGTAAACCTCATTAAAGCATGGACAAAGCGCCAACAGGCGAGAGAGTGGCAGCAAAGCCCGGGATGCAACACAGGCAAGACCCTTATGGGCAGCGGTGTAGAAACCTGGTCGGTGGAGCTCCTGAAGCTGAGCAGACCAAAAATAAGGGCTGTTGTGGAAATCGTTTCCGGCCACAACAATCTGAACAAACACAGATACGTGATAGGAAAGACGACATCTCCACGATGTGAAAGATGCGAGGAGGAGATTGAAGACTCCCAGCACTTTTTGTGCAAATGTGTAGCACTAGCGAGAACCAGATTCGCGGTTTTTGGGCAGACGGAGATCCATCCGGAGCAGGTTAGGGAGCTAAGTGTAATAATAATAATAATAATACATACATACATATATATATATATATATATATATATATATATATATATATATATATATATATAATACATACCAGTGTAAATGTAAAACGAATTAAGAACAATGAAAGAACCGAGCCCGAGCCAATTTTATTTGATATTTTATCTGAAATTTGACATCTGTCAGAAAGATTAAACGTCACTTTTTTTTCAATTTTTAGTAATTGGAAAATTGCCCATGGGCAAAATAGTATCACGCCCACGGGTTAAGAAATGGCCAATTAGGAAATTTAGTATTTCGCCCACCCTCATTAGGCCCCGATATTTCTTGAAGGTGTTGAATAAATGAAAAATATTTAACACCCTTTTGATTTCTTAACATTAACCGGCAGGCGAAATTTTACTTCGCCCAAGAGAAAGCGGAATAGCATTTCGCTCACGGTCTCTAGTTAGCTTTAAGTTAAAATTAGGAAAAAAGTAAAATAAAAAATTCTGATAATCGTCACATGTCAGAAAAAATATCAAAAAAATTGTCTTTAAATTCCTTGTGGTAGTTAAATAAAATATTGTGTCCGACTATTGGTCAAAAGAGGAGATTCCACTCTTCCTATAGTATACACGCTCAGGGCAAATTCCTGTTTCTCCCACTAGACCCACAATATACTTTACTACAACTAATTAGACTAACCATACAACACTTTGAATTTGTTAACAATATCTCCAAAACCTACGTAAAGAAACACTTCGTACGTAAAATTTGGATCCAACAGCCTGTTGACAACAGGTATATTAACTTGTTTTAAATATTTCTAAAGAAATCAGTTAAAATGTTTACCTCTGGTACATGGTAATCGTGTCCTCCATGCCCGTGATCATGGCCACCGCTTCCGCTGCTGCTGCTGCTAAAGTGTGCAGACGCGCCTGCTGAGCTTTTGGCAATCTGACCGATTTTCTTTTTAATTCCCTGTCCGATCGCATTTTTAATTGACGTCAGTATGTCCGAGCTGCCGGACCGTTTTTCACGTCCGTTCAGATATTCTAATTGCTTTCTATCGCCGGGCGATAGGTCGTCAAACGTAATTAAATCGAGAGGTGCGTTTACGGCGCCAGACCAAACCTTTTTTGCTGAAAGAAGCACCAATCCACAAGAGCACATCAACAGGAACGTGACCTGAAACATAAAACAGAGATATTTAATAACCAATGTTTATGAAATTGAATAGATAATAGAATTCGCATTTTTTAAATAAGGATAATAATAATACACACAGAAATATATTTACAAAAATTAACACTGCGCCCAATTATTATAGTAAACAACTGTTTAGGATTTTTTTATTTTTAAAATTGTGTGTTGTATTTAGGATTTTCTGGTTTTAAAATCTGTTTTACAGGACAGATAGCAGGGAAATTAATCAAAAATATATATTTTTTATTATAAAAGTATCAAACAATTGTTTAAACTTTAAAAATTACTAAACTAATGGACAAGTCCTAAGCATAGGAAGCAGTAAAACAACTCATAAAACATTTTGCCACATTTCTTATAAGGCTTATTACGCTATTAGTATAATTTTTTTAAAGATTGTCAACTAGATATAACTATCTTAGTAATAAAGTCAATAGTTTTAATGTGACTATTTCACTCATTACTTTTTGGACCAATTAGATTTTACAACATGGATGTTTTTTACTTTTACAGCTATAAAATCACTCGAAAAAAACACTTTTTTTGGTAATTTTTTTTATTTTAACATTAAAAACTTTTTTTGGTTGCTATGCGAAAAATAATGAAGTCGATTTTGACGTTTTTAATTTAAAATTGAAACATTTTCGATTTGACAATAAAAATCAACTTGAAATTTAACCAGCAGTGAAAGAAAAGGAAGATGGGTACCTACTAAAAAAAAAACAAAAAAATTGTAAAATTATTAAAAGAAAATTAACAAAAATTTAAACAATTATATTTCAGTATTAATATAGCTATAGCTATTTTTACTTTTCACTGTGTTTCTTTTTTTTAAATATCACCAAAACAATTAATAATAATAATACATAATAATAATAATAATACATTTATTGTGCAAAAAATACAATATAACAATATAAAGTACAATACACAAAAGGAGGTGTTCGTAAAAACGCTCTTCCACACCACCCAAATAATTAATTATAAATAATACATACAAAAATATAAAAATACAAAATAAATATAAATATATATGTATCTACAAATTTTAATAAATACATTATAAATACTTTATCACAAATACAGATATCACATATTAAACACGTCTTTTGTTTATAAGAGTTTCCTTATATTTTATTTTAAAAGTTTCAATTGAGTAGTTTGTGAAACTATTTAAAATAACATCCTGATTAAGAATTTTTATTGCCAAGTAAGTAAATGAATTTTGGTAACGAGCAGTTTTATGTGCTGGCATTATAAATTTATTGTACCTTAATTCTTTGTTAGGAACAACTTTTCTGACTAATAAATTGTATAAATAGGTAGGGCTTTTATTGACATAAATATTCCTTAACAAACTTGCAAAAAGTAACTCATAACGTTCCCTTATATACAATATTTTGTGATCATTATAAGTGGAAGATATATGATCGTATTTACGCACATTAAAGATGAATCGCATACATGCATTTTGGGCTAGTTGAAGTTTGGTTTTAAATTCCACAGTTAAAAAAGAGTAAAAGACCTGAATGCAGTAATCAAAAATAGGAAAAATTAATGATTCAATTATCTTAAATTTAGTACCCTCATTGAGTAAATATTTAAACTTATACAATGTTCTTAACTTCCAATACAGCACTTGTAGTTTTCTGTTGACATGAGTCTGAAAATCCAAACGGCTGTCGAACCAAACACCCAAATTCTTTGCCTCAGTGACATTATTTATTTCCACATTATTAATGTGAATTACAGAGAAATTAAACCTTGCACACTTATTCAACTGACAACTTGTTCCGACTGGTAGCAATGTACTTTTATTAGCATTTAGAATTAAACCATTGTCACATGACCAATTATATATATTGTCTAAATCTGTATTAATATTATGTATAGCCAAATTGATGTCACTGGGATAAAATGAATTTATTAATTGCGTATCATCAGCATATAATTGTATATCACATTTTTTCACTGCGCTAGGTAAATCAGCTGTATAAATTGAAAATAAAATAGGCCCCAGGATACTTCCTTGAGGTACACCATATTTTATTTCAAGCGGACTCGACCGTATACCCTCAATATCTACCATCTGAGATCTATGTTGTAAATAATCTTTAAACCACATACATACGTTCAGGCTAAAACCATAATAGTGAAGTTTGGCTAACAATAAATCGTGATCAATTACATCAAATGCCTTTGAATAGTCAAGTAAAACCATATATGATACTTTGGATTCATCAATAGATTTAGCTAATTTACTTGTAATGTTTGTTAGTGCTGTTGTAGTGCTGTAACCTTTCCGGAAACCGGATTGTATACTAGGAAGAATATTACATTTATCTAAATACTTTGTTAACATTTTACACACAATTTTCTCCAATATTTTGGACAGCACAGGCAATATATTAATAGGTCTAAGGTCTTTATAAGATGTAGGGTTACTAATTTTCGGCAAGGGTTTTATAATAGACGTTTTCCATTGTATTGGAAAACAATGATTCTGCAAGGAGATGTTTAAGATCTTAATTATGGTCTGTTTAGCAAAAGGTAAAATCCACTCGATCATATATAGACTGATTCCATCCACACCTATTGCCCTAGATTTAATTTCATTTATAGCAGTTATCACATCACGTTCTGATATGTCACCAAAATCAAAAGTTTGACTATTAGGTGCCACATTATTTTGAAAATTAAACAAAACATTTTGATTAATAGGTGGTATGTTGCTATTAACTTGATTAAAAGCTATATTTATATCTTCAGGATTACTGAGTTGAGATGGAATATTCTTAGGTGTTTTTGAATAGATACCCCACTGTTCAAGTCTTTTCCACATACCTTTTGGATCTCTTTTAGATTTATTTATTTCAAACTGCATGTATGCTTTTTTTTCACTTTGAATTGCGAATGACAAATAATTTTTTAAATCCAAATATAGCCGTCTATGTGCTTCTAACTTTGTACGTTTGTATTTGTTAAATGTTTTGTTTTTTAACTTAATTATTTCTTTTATTGTTTCAGTAATATAAGGTCGGTACGAGTTTTTACTAACGACTTTTTTGATAGGAGCATGTCTATCAAACAAGTATGTTAGTGTATCATTAAATGTATTTACTTGTATATCTAAATTAGGAATGTTAGATAGGAAATCCCAATTGATTTGTTGGGCGTCAAAACTAAATTCATTGAAATTGAAACTTTTAAAATCTCTGCAAGAGTAAATACGTTTTTCTTTGCGCTTCCCCATATCTAATAAAACACTACAATACACTAATCTATGATCAGTCATGTTATACATTTCTACTGTTCCACTACTTTTAACTTTTAATGTATTGTCTACAAAAATTAAATCTATCAATGTACAAGTAGATTTTGTTACTCTAGTTGGTTCTTCTATTACTTGTTTTAAATTGAAAATATTTAATAAATTAGATATAAAAGTCATATCGGTATTACTATTTGAAAAATCAATATTTAAATCACCAACTATAAATAAATGATCACATTGTATGGCTAATTCAGATAATAAATTCTCAAGGAATTGTAACTTTTTGTAATATAAGTTAGGTGGTTTATAAACAACCTCAATTATAATAATTTTGTTCTTGAATGTGATCTTTACCCAAACATTTTCAACTAAATTATCATTATCTATAGGATTTAAGTGTGATAGGCACATTAAATTGAATTTATATGCATTGTTTATATATAACACTATACCCCCTCCGCGAGATTCCCGATCTAGGCGCACAAAATTATAACCCTGGACATCAAAAAAATCACTTGGAAAGTCACTTTTTAGCCAAGACTCTGTTATAGCAAAAATATCATATTGACTATGCAAAATATATTGCTTTAAATCATCAAATGATGGCAATAGAGATCGTATGTTTACATGTGCTACTGAAAAAATTTTATTTAAGTTTAACTGCTTATTTTCACTATTGGGAGTAGCTAACCTAACATTCTGATTTATTATTTTAGGGGTTTCACTTATAAAAAACTACCTGATTTCTGTAAAAATAGTGTTATTACCACCGTGTTAACCTTGAAAACTTTGTTTGGTTGCTATGCGAAAAATAATTAGGAAAATTTTAAGGTTTTTGAATCGGTAGTGAAAAAAACGATACCTAAAAACACCTAAAAATATTCGTAAAACAATTAGCCACACAAAAAAAACAAAAGTACCCCGATCTGGGTATGTGGCAGGTTTTTTTATGTATTTTGACCTGCTAAAACCTCATAAAGCTGAAAAAAAAAATTTTCTTACTACCTCGACTGAAAATACGTTGTTTCGTCCCCGATTTCACGGCAGAAAGTTTACGTTTCTTGCATTGGTCAAGCTATACGCGCACACTCTATAATAGCGGGAGTAAAAATTTTTTAGTCGTGTGCTGAACATATGCAACTCTGATTACGACATTAATATAACCTCAAAATTTGGGCAGGCTTCGCCTCGGGCATCATGGCGCGCAGTGCAGGAATCTCACACTTTCTGCCCTTGTAGTGTAATATACTATTTTCTGTTCTAGGGTTGAGGCATAATAGTTATGTTTTTCAACGTGCCAAATTCAAATATGTTGTCAAAAATAATCTCTAACAACGTCCTTGAACCTTAACCTAGACTCTTAATTTCAGAGTTCACGATTTTTCTTGAGTTGTTTTGGAATCTAGATCGACATTATGTCAAAATCACTTATATTTTTTAATTCTTTTGCACCATACCGTGTTCTTTTTTCTTCTGTGTGAGGGGTTACTTACTCATTCTTTTTTCGTCTCGAACATTCGTTTCTCTTTTCAGCATCCAGCAAAAATCGGCCATCATCCCATCTACCCTGATATCGTTTCAAAAATTGGGATGTTTAATGAATTTGAAATTACACTTTCTTCATTCACACCTTGATAGGTTCCCCGCAAATGTTGGAGACTACAGTAAAGAACAAGTAGAACGGTTCCATCAAGATATCAAAGTATAC